ACAGGAAACACATCCCCCACCCACATCCCACCCTGACCGAGACTCAGAAGGTCTGTGTACATACCTCCTCCACCTCCAAGCAGGGAGTTGTTGGCTGCAAGACAGAGAAAGACAAGAGCAGGTAAGTATGGGAAGGGTTGAAGAAGGGACTGTACGGGGCAGAAGGACAATCAGGGAGCCTGGGAGCAGGGAGCCTGGGTCCTGAGACTTTGCAAATAGGGATTCCCAGCCCTTTGTGCAAGAGCCAATGATGGGGATTTGGTAAGCTCCCAATAGGTCTGGGCTTGTAGGAGGACCAAGAAGTGGGGGCACAGGAAGGCCACCAAGGCCACCTGATCACCCAGAAGTAGCAGTGCGCAGAGTTATGGCATGCATGTGCCGGTCAGGGGACAACTAGCAGGAGTTGGTTCTCTCTTTCCGCATTTGATCCCTGGGGTTCACATTCAAGTTGTCCGACTTAGTAGTAGATGCTTTTGCTCACAGAGCCATCTTGAGGCCCCACCCCCTTAAACAGCGTTTCCAATAGATCAGACAGGCACTATGTAGCAAAGGGTGGCTTTGCGGTAGTGCCCTCCTTCCACCTCACAAGTATTTACTGCCATGCCTGGCTACCCTGTGTTCTCTTTGACTGTACACTGGTTCCTGAGACCCAGCAGTGCCCAGCCGTCAGCATAGGTATGGGGATGCCAGGACTGCTGTGGAATATTATTTTAACTAGGCAAAGATGTTTGCATTGCTTGTTCTCTTTGACTGTACACTCGTTCCTGAGACCCAGCAGTGCCCAGCCGTCAGCATAGGTATGGGGAGGCCAGGACTGCTGTGGAATATTATTTTAACTAGGCAAAGATGTTTGCATTTGTTTATGCTGCAGAATCTTACTTTAACTATGTAAAGGTGTGTTACATTTGTTCATACTGTATTTTCTTTTTACGATGCGAGGATGTATTATTACATTTATTTCATTTGCCTGCCTAAGGCACCTAATAAAAGGTGACTGGCCAGTAGCTAAACGGCAGGACAAAGGATGGGGGAAGATGGCAGACAGAAGAAATAGGAGGAGAAATCTAGGCTAAAAAGAATGAGGAGGAACAAGAGAAAAAGGAGGAGAAAACAAGGAACACAGCCGGAGTTGCAGGACAAAAACCCTGTCTTGAAAAACCAAAGGGGAGGGGCTGGAGAGATGGGTCAGAGGTTCAGAGCACTGAAAATAAATAAAATCCTTAAGGAAAAAAAAAGAAAAAACAAAGGGGAAAGGGAAAAAAGATATACAGAAATAAGGAAGATAAAAGGCAAAAAGGCCAGGCAGTGGTGGCACATACATGCCTTAAAAAAAAAAAAAGAAAAAGAAAAAG